TATTTCACAGGGAACAAAAAACATGTTTAATATTATGAAGAGTAAATATACAAATATATTTATATTCAATATAAAATTATATTTATATTCAATATAAAATTATATATATAAATATAAAGGGCAGGCCAGTCTGAAGTTTATTTAGTTTGGGCAGTAAAGAAAAGATATGTAACACGTAATTTCTTTCTTACTGTTACCGTACTTGTAGGTCTTCAGCTGATTTCATGGAGAGTCCTGTGATGTCTGCAATCCTCTGATTGACACGAGCAACCACAGTGTTGCCTTCCTCTAGAAAAACACTGAAAACAAGGAAATTATTTTTCAGTAACACTTTAAAATAAGATTTAATTTGTTATTGAAATGAACCATATTGTAAAGGGTTTCTATTTTTCATCCAATAATAAGTGTGAAAAAATAATATGAATACTATAAAATAACAGTACTGTAATGTAAGTGTTAATTTTAAGTCAAGATAATGGGTGAAAATGAGGTTATCACCTTTGAGAAGTACGGATCTTTGATACTCCCCCTCTAGTCACAGACCTAGAAAGCTACAGAAGGCCATAAATGGTAAATGGAACATCAACACACACACACACACACACACACACACACTAGATAGCCAAAAGTATTTGAGCACACAATTATCTAGAATATCATTACAGTTCATCATCAAGATTTGTCTTCACTAGAATTAAGGGGCCAAGCCAACTTTTTAAAGGAATGCCCTTATACTTCTGAACATTGAATAGCACAATAAAACATAATCAAAAGTATTAACAAGATATTAGATTATAATAATATTGACAATCAAATATTTTATTGATTTGGGTGTGTGTGTGTGTTTGTGTGTGTGTTAGATATTCACTAGAGGTCTGGAGATATTCTTCAGGATCTCTATCTCTCAATCTGAAATAATGTCATGATATCTGATGATGCGAGGCTCGTCCCACTCCACTTCCTCTTTCACTGGTGCGTAAATTAGTCTGGGGTTTCCTCCACCTGTGCTGTACCTACAGGACAGCGCCCTCTGCCTCTTGGAGGTCTGATTTTATCAAATATAATAAACATTCAATTAACGCACAAAGCTTCACATTGACTGTTTGTAATTTCATGTCAAATAATCATTTAAATTTGAGAATTTGCACTTGCCCTCTCATCAATCTCTCCTCTGCACAGTGCCTCATATTTACTTGACTCTGCGTTCAGTGTGAATATGTCAGGGTTTGAAGTTCTCAGGAAGTAACGGCGTCTGTAAATGCTCAGCTGAACTTTGACTTCGTCATTAGTTGGATCTGAGGCAAAGAAGTTTAAGACTTTAATAGTCTGATCTCAAAGTTGTCTGATAACCTCCCATATAAAAATATCAGTATTAAACTCTAGGACATCATGAGCTCACCCAGAATTAGAAGCTGTTGGCAGAAGTAGATTGCCACAGGTTGGCTGCCAAAACGATAGGCTGAGAAACTAAAGTAATGTAGCTAATCTTTCTTATTAATAGTTGAGTATTCTGTTAATGTTTTGAGACTGTACCAAAACCAGAAAAAGGCATGCTGGAATTTGTCCTCATTATAAGCGACCAACCCCACATGGCAGGCTTCATCTGCACTTAATGACATTTCTGTGAAATCAAAACAGATCAAAGCTGATATTTGAAAGGAAAACAAAGTGAAACTCTCTCAGTGAAACTGCACTGGTGCAATACTGTGGACAGTTCACCCTTCATGATGTCTTCTGGGTAGAGTCTGTAGATCTCTTGCAGTCTGATCAGTCCTGAAGCTGCACCATTCAAATCCTCTGGCTGTGGGATCTCTAGGAACTCCAACTCATACTGATACTTGTTACATTGATAAAAACTTGGTCGAATGTGTTTTACAATATGTATCAAATCATTTCTCAGTCGTCTGAGGAGTTTGTAAGCTGCTACAGGGTCTGTCATGATTTCTTCAGGGTCCTCAGAGTCAGAGTATGAAAGCAGAAGATTCTGAAGAGCACTGGATTGATGACAGGAGTTCATCAGAAGTTGTATTGTTAAAAAATATTTATTTAATGACATAATCCTAAATTTAATACCATATATATAAAATTTTTAAACATCAATTGCTATAAAATGTCATTATTTTTAATCTTGGAGTTTAATGGTACTGTACATAGTGAATAATGAAAGTGTTTTCACCTCTTCATTGCCTCTACATTCTTTTCTTCAGCATCAATGTACTGACTGAAGCTCATCAGAAGGTCTTTCTTCTTCTCAACAAGCTGTGCGATTTGATCTACAGTATAAAACAATCTGCTCTTAATGTCAAAGAACATTTGATATATGTATTTTTTTCCATTAGAAGTATAATGAAAAAGGTTTATGAAATAAGAAACCAAAAAGAGAGTTAATATTGTTTAGTCAATAATTGAATGTAGTAAGTTAAAATCTACAACTATAATGTTTGTAGTGTATCAGTGTTGAGTTTCGGTGTCTCACAAATGAATACAAAAAATTAACTTGTCATGGTAACAGCTTAAAAACATTAGTTAGAGAAATATGGATAGAACAATATAACATTGAATTATTTACAATTAAAACTAATGAAATATATTGCATTTTGATATTGAAATGAAATATAATTAATAACCTGTTGACGAGAAGATCTCATGCCCAGCAGAACAGACAGTCCAAAAACACGCTACAAATGTCAGTTCCTTTATAGCCATTATCAAACCTTCAGTAGGCTATCTCAAAACACAACTTCTGTATGTGTACCTTGAAATGAAATTGAGCTTAAATACAGGCCATTTATTTGCATCTTTTCAGAGACACACCTGTATCTGCCCATTTTATGTATTCAGCATTCCTACTATTGTATGAAAAACGAAAGCGAAACTTCACATGAATGAGCTCTCACGAGTCGGCAGGCTGGCTGTGGGAACAAAGAAAGTAGAGACAGGATCTAATCACAGCAGTGACATGTATAAACAAATTAAAAACAGAGGAGCACTTGAGAACAAAGACTTCACAATCTAACAACAACCACAAAACACAGCAAATCAACATGCAGCATAGTCAAGAACAAACTACGACTGAAAACTAAGGACTATATATACACATTTGCTAATCAGTTAACAAATTAAACAAGCAGGGCATAGTAATTAAGACAACCAAAGAAACAGAAACTAATCAAAGATGAAAGTAGAAACACACCAAATTCCTCAAACCAGAACATAAATGTGACATCATGACAGTCATGACATTTCACAATATATTTTTGTTTCTTCTATGTAATTAGTTATTTAGCTATATCAATATAATTTCATGTTGCACAATTGGAGATTACAAATAATCATGATAGAAATGGAGAGACATCCTATATTATAAGCTATTGTATTATCAAGGCCTGTTCTAATGTTGCCTAACAACGGGTCAGACTTTACTTGCATAGTGTTCTTTTTGTTGTATTGTTGCAGGATGCTGCATCAACAATCACATCTGTGTAACATGGAAATCTTATCTATGACTAATGCAGAAATTAAAGTAAAATGAAAGATTACTTCATTATATTTTCTGTGTGTTACTGAGCCCAGGTTTAATAATGATTAGATGCAGTCACTGTTTGTATTAGATTATACTCAGTTCCTAAAAGTTTGTCCTAAAAATTCTTAGTTATCATATGATAACTGCTTGAATTTGAATTGATAAAATATTGATACATCTAATCACAGTTACTATACACATGATATTTTAACAATATATTTATAGTTACAATTTCTGCGTGCAGCATAAATGAATATGCTATAGAATGAATTTCATATGACTTACATATTATTAGCGAATATTATTATGATAAAAGTTTCACAGGTCGTTATTTCACATGCCTTTTATTCATTTTTGTTTGCTTCTTTGAAAAGCTTCCAAGGAGAGTAAATTATACAAGGCATCCAAGTGAAATGAAGACTGCTGAAC